GGTTGCAGCCATCATTGTTGTTTGGCGGGTCTGGACTGGATTTGAACCTGCCAACTCAGGTGTATGTGGCTGGCGCCTTAGCTGCTTGAGTCACAGGTGCCAAGCTGACTGTTTTGTTTTTTTCTTTTTATTGCCCTCGGTAAAGTGCTGTGGTGTCGCAGCTCACAGCAACCTCCAACTCCTGGGCTTAGGCAATTCTCTTGACTCAGGCTCCTGAGTAGCTGGGACTACAGGTGCTCGCCACAACGCCTGGCTATTTTTTTTTTGTTGCAGTTCTGCTGGGGCCAGGTTTGAACCCACCACCTTCGGTATATGGGGCTGGCACCCTACTCCCTGAGCCACAAGCACCGCCCAGACATGTAATTTCATCTGAAAATATTATGTATCTCTAAAAGTGAAGCAACTTTTAATTCAAAACCATAAACTATTATAGGTAAAAATGATTAAGTTAGTATCACGTTGCTATCACTGCCAAATTTCCTCATTATATTAAAAAATTAACTGGTGGATAGAATCAGGATCTATGTCTTACAAATGGGTGATATGTTTCTTAGATCTTTTATAATCCACAAGGTTCCTCCCCTATTTTTCTCTGAGTTACAATTTATGTGCTTTTTTCTTAGTCTTTTTCAAATGGCTATTCAGACATAAACTGCAAACTTGGAAATTTGAGAACATGTTTCTTCCTCATGCACTTTACTACTTTGCCAGTTTCATAAACTCTAAGAATTCCAATGTCAACTAAGGCTTATCCTTTCTACCCTCTTTCCTTCACATACACTGCTAACAAAATCATTTGTTCAAGAAATATTCTCAGCACTAACTCTATCAGATATTGCACTAGATACTAATACAAAACCAACCATAATAATAAAAACAAAAGAGTAGTAGTATTTAATGAGAGGTTACTATACGCCTGACGCTGTTATAAAAGCTCTTACATGAACTACCTCACTTAACTTGTTAAACTCTATAAGGTCAGCAATGCTATTATTTACCAGATTAGGAGATCAAGGCACAGAGAGGTAAGTAACTTGCCCAACTCTACCCACTGAGGATGTGGTAGAGCCAGGAATGACACACTCCAACAGTGGGGCAACATAATCCCTGCTCTTAACTTTGACCACATTGCCTGTTGGAGAGGTTAAGAATCAATCATTAAGGAATTTATTTCTGCTGGAGAAGGTAGACATATGGACTATGTATATGAAACACTTCTTCACTTGGCTCTAGGACACCACACTACTCTGGCTTTCTTCTCCCCTCACTAGCTGCTCCTTTAATGGTTCTTTCTCATCTCAACTTGTCAGCATCTCATGGGATCACTTCTCTTTTCTATCTACATTCATTCCCTTGATGCTATTACCTAGACACATGATTTTAAGTACCAACTATATACTACAATCCTCAAATTTTTATCTCCAGCCTGGCCCTCTCCCTTGAACTCCTAACCTATATGTGTATTCAACAACTTATTCTTTACCTCCAATTATATTATCACAGACACCACCTTAGACTTAATATTGAGAATACACAATGGACAGGCTACTAGAAGAAATAAATGGGTTTAGCAAAATTATCAGATGTTAGATCTATCTAAAATTTGAGATCATTTTATACACCAGTAGAAGCCAACTAGAAAAATACTATAAAAATAGATACTATTCACAAAAAAAGCCCTATAAAATACCTAGAAATGAATAAGAACACATAGATCTCTACAGAAAAAACTTTAAAATTCTAATAAAGGATACAAGTGATTAGAATAAATGAGAGATGTTCTATGTTCTTAGATGGGATGATGATATTCTGAAGACACTACTTCTCCCCAAATAAATCTATCAATCCAATACAATCTTGATTAGAATTCTAGTTAGATTTTTTTTTTTTTTGAGACAGAGTTTCATTATGTTGTCCTTAGTAGAGTGCGTGGCGTCACAGCTCATAGCAACCTTAAACTCTTGGGCTTACGCAATTCTCTTGCCTCAGCCTCCCAAATAGCTGGGACTACAGGCACCTGCCACAATGCCTGGCTATTTTGTTGTTGTAGTTGTCATTGTTGTTTGGCAGGACTGGGCAGGGTTCGAACCTGCCACCTTCGGTGTACGTGGCTGGCGCCCTAGCCGCTGAGCTGCAGGCGCCGAGCCATTGCCATGCAATTTAAAAAAAATAATTGATACATAATAGATGGGTACATTTTGGAGGTACATGGATATTTTGGAAATATTGTATATGGAAATATGGTATATGGAAATATTCATATAATATGTAATAATCAAATCAGGCTAATTAGAATATATACCATGTGTGTCACTCTAAACATTCATCTTTTCTTTATGCTAGCAACATTCAAATTATTCTCTACTAGCTATTTTGAAATATACAATAGATTACTGTTTACTAGTTACTTTTCTGATTTATCTAACACTAGGTCTTACTTCTTTTAACTGTATTTTTTTATCCATTAATCAACCTCTCTTTCTGCTATTACCTAGCCTCTGGTAACCACCAATCTTCTGTTATAGTAAGATCTAATTTCTTACCTCCCTCATACAAATGAGAACATGCAATTTTGTTGTCCTTCCTGTGCATGGCTTATTTAACATAACCTCCAGTTCCATCCATGGGCACAGATGGCCATCCATATTTTGGCTACTATGAATAGTGCTGTGAAAAACATGGGATTGCAGATACCTCTTCTGTATATTCACTTCCTTTCTTCTGGCTATATACCTAGTATAACAGTTTTTTTGTTTTGTTTTGTTTTGTTTTTTGAGACAGAGTCTCACTCTATCGCCTTTGGTACAGTGCCGTGGCCTCGGCATATGGGGCTGGCACCCTACCCAATGAGCTACAGGTGCCGCCCATGTTTTCCATAGTTGCTGCACTACCTTTACATTCCCACCAGCAATGGTGAGGGTTCTCCTCTTCCACATATTTACCTGCATCTGTTCTCTTTTTTTGATAAAAGCCATTTCAATAGAAGTGATATAGCTCATTGTGGTTTTCATTTTATATTTCTCTGATGATAGTGAAATTGACCATTTTTTTCTTATACCTGTTGGCCTTTTATATGTCTTCTTTTGAGGAATGTGTATTCAGATCTTCCACTTTTTATTTATTTTGAGACAGAGTCTCACTTTGTTGTGCTGGGAAGAATGCCATGGCATCATATTTCACAGCAACCTCAAACACTTGGGCTCAAGCAATCCTCTTGCCTCAGCCTCCCGAGTAGCTGGGACTACAAGCAATCAAGTTATTTTCAGAGATGGGGCGGGTCTCACTCTTGCTCAGGCTTTTCACTCACTTTTTAAATTAGATTTATTTTGTTTTTGAGTCCCCTTTTAACAAAATTATTTGAAGATATAAGAGTAAAAATGTTCTTGGTTGCATGTCAATTTTGTTTTGCTTGAGTCAGGGTTATAAGTATGTCATCATGCAGTTAGTGTTTATTGTTCCCATTAGGTAGGTTTTCACCCATCCTGTCCTCCATGTGTCCTGAGTTCCTTATATATTCAAGTTATTAATCCTTTGAAAGAAGGATAGTTTGAAAACATTTTCTTCAATTCTGTGTTGTCTCCAATTTGTTGTTTTCTTTTCTTTCTTTTTTTTTTTTTTTTTTTGAGACAGAGCCTTAAGCTGCTGCCCTGGGTAGAGTGCCATGGCATTAATTCACAGCAACCTCCAACTCCTAGGCTCAAGCAATTTTCTTTCCTCCTCCTCCCAAGTAGCTGGGACTATAGGCACCCTCCACAACGCCCCGCTATTTTTTGGTTCCAGCCGTTATTGTTTGGAGGGCCTGGGCTGGATTCCAACCCGCCAGCTCTGGTGTATGTGGCTGGCATCGTAGCCTCTTGAGCCCGGCTATTTTTTTTTTTTGGTTACAGCCGTTATTGTTTGGAGGGCCTGGGCTGGATTCAAACCTGCCAGCTCAAGTGTATGTGGTGGCGCCTTAGCCACTTGAGCTACAGGCGCTGAGCCCAATTTGTTAATTGTTGTACAGAAGCTTTTTAGCTTGATGCAATCCACTTATATATTTTTTCTCTTGTTGCCTGTACATTTTTATTTTTTTGAGACAGGTCTCCCTATGTTGCCTAGGCTGGAGTGTGGTGGTGTCATCATAGCTCATTGCCACCTTGAACTCCTGGCCTCAGGTGATCCTTCCTCCTCAACCTCCTGAGTAGCTAGGACTACAGGAACACACTACCACGCCTGATTGATTTTTAAATTTTTTGTAGAGATAGAGTCTCACCATTTTGCCCAGGGTAGTATTGAACTCCTGTCCTTGAGTGATCCTCCCACCTTGGCTACTCAAAGAGCTAGAATACAAGCCTAAACCACTTTGTCTAGACTCTAGTCTTTGGATGTAGACATTTATTGCTATAATCCTTAGAATCAATCATGTGATTTTTCTCCTTTTACCTTTAATATGGTGATTTACAGCAACAGATTTCCTAACACTGAACCATCACTATGTTTCTTTTTTTTTTAAATTTCTTTTTAAATTATGTTTCTTATATAAGGTTCACTAGAGAATAATATTACATAAGGTGTCCGTAAAGTTCATGTGCAACTATTTTAAATTGCACATGAACTTTATGGACACCCTATATATTATTTTGTTGTCATACTGTAGGCTTGTATTTAACCTTGTTTTATTGAGTTATTTACAGATGGGATTTATTTATAGTTTTGTTAATGCATAATTTTGGATTTGGGTATCAGTATTATGTTCATTTTAATAAAAAGATTAATTTCTTCCTCTTTTGCACTCTAAAAACAGTTAAATATTGAACATTTGTTTAAATATTAGACAGTGAAGTTACCTGTGTCTTTAAAGTTTTCTGGGATAATTCCCTGTATTTTCCTAGTGCATAAGAAGCGTTTTTACATTCTTTTTCTATGGTAACTGGCCTCCTTAGGTTTTTCTATCTCATTTGGGGCAATTTTTGGTAGTGTATTATTTCTTAAAAATTATTAATTTTATTCATGTATATGAATATTTATAGATAATTAAGCAAATCAGTATCTTCTTATTCTTACAATAACCAGAGTAGGTATCATTATGTTCTATTCTTCGATTTTGTGTATTTGTGCTTTCTCTCTTTAAAATATTAGGAAATAGGCTCGGTGCCTATGGCTCAAGTGGCTAAGGCATCAGCCACATACAACTAAGGTGGCAGGTTCAAATCCAGCCCGGGCCCACCAAACAACAATGATGGCTGCAACCAAAAAAAAAAAAAATAGCCAGGCATTGTGGCAGGCACTTGTG